AAAACACAAAATAAAAATACCTTTAAAATGGCAGAGAGACCATATGTTTGAATTGTGGTTGCATGAGCTAACTGAAGAGGGAGACCACACTTCTGGCAGGCTCGTAATCCCTCTGCCAAGACACCAAGCTCAACAATTCTCCGACCCTCTGTCCATGTAGTGGTTTTGCATGTAGCTGGTACAATCTCTTCATGATCCACAACTTCAAAACTGAGAGTGTCGCACCCTTCATCTATTGAGTAATCATTTTATAAACACACTTCAAAGTACTTTTTAAGATTTTAGATGGTTTTTTTCAAAATTTAATTTATATAATATATAACATGTTTAAAGCAATCAGGGATTAATCTAGGGCATATTTACAACCCATATTTTTTAAAGCGTTTTTATTCATAAGTTATTAATCAATGACAAGGAATTAAATGTGCTGTCAAAACTTCAATCTTGAAATAAGAACCCTATATTGAATAATGGAAAAAACGAATTAACTTTATGCAGACCAACATTTTTTTTCACACCAAAACCCTAAAACATTACTTTTTTTTATACCATATGGTATACAGGTATATATATTATATATATCCATTATCAATCCCTCAGTGTGTAAATAAAGGAAAGGGAATTAATCCGAGAAAAAAAATTCTCCACAATTTCGTGTACCAAAAATGAATATTATTTTGCTTGTCTCTACCATTTCATTGAAAACAACATTTTGTAAAATCACTGGAATGAAAACATTTCTTGACAGTTTTACAACGAATTTTTCAATTAAAAAAAGTACTCTTATATTTGATAAAACAATAACTTTTATCTGATCAGCATATATATATATTTAAAAAAATTTTAGGCATAAAAATCTTATTCAACGCGTGCAATGTATTATAAATTCAATATTTACCTGGAGTTTTATAGAACTGATGCATGCAAGTTACAGATGAAGTATCTGTAAATCATCGCCTCTGTCACGAGCTGGCAAATTTGAAATGGGGCGAATTCAAAGAATACACTGTCAGTATAAATTCTTAAACAAGGTGGGTGAATTTAAAACAGGACAAATTTGTAAGAAAGGGCAAAATTTATTCTGTATACAAGCATGCATGCAGTTTCTCAATCTTTCTAAAAACTAAAATACATGTACAGATTTTGTGCAGTATCTGGCCATATAAGTGAGCCATAATTTTATTTTCCAATTATATATTTTGTTGAAAATGCATTTTTCTAAATGAAGTTTTATTGTAGTGACTGTTATTTGTTGCTCATTTTTAAAGACTAAAACACCATACACATGTAAAATGCAGGTTAGATTCTTTGCCGTTTCTTCACATTATTTCAAAATAATTCTTATATCTGTATGTAGGCATCCGGTGATAACACACTGACAGTATAGTGTAAATGTGCAATTATCATGATTATATGACTGACTTATGGCCATTTACTGTATGTAATCATCTTTAAAAAAAATATCATTATACATGTAGGTCTACAACTCGGCGAAACCTGACATATATAGGCCTATAGTTTTTGGTTCAAGTAATGAAAAAAATGATGAAATTGAGCCAAAATAATTGGCCATTTGCTATGCAGCGACGTAAATTTATATATGTGGCTTTCAATATAACTAAAGAGAAGATATAAATTTTATCTTAACTTTTGACACACGTCTGTACTTTCTATTTTACAACGGGGGGTTACTCTAATCGAACGAAAGGAATGTTCTTGGATAGAAAAACTATCAACAAAGCAATATGAATCAGGTGATCGCAAAATAACAAATTCCTTGTTAATATATGAATTCAAACAACATTTTTAATATGACTTAATACATTTACACACTGTCTGGGATCGATTAGGGATGTGTATAATTTTGAGCCAATGTGACCGTCGTTTGGTAGACTATACACTATGACTTGCTGATACTGTTAATGATTTTTCTATGTATTCTTACCGGTTTTTGAATACACATGGTCCTTATGACCATGTGCCCATCTCTGCTTCTGGGCTTCTGACTGTCTTTTATACAATAATTTTCGTTTACGGGTGGCAAAGCCTCCCTTTGTGCGTCCCATGTTCTGTCGTCTGTCAGTTCGGGAAATTGCGCGTTGTGGTTACTATGTAGATCGGAAACGGGTCTGATGCCGTAAAATAAACAGGGGCAGTCAATGACAATGCCGCTAATTTAATTCTTATTTTTTATCTAAAAAATTATGCAGGAAAGTTAAATGAATAACATAATTAATTATTTAATGTTTTATAAACGTCATCTGGCGTTTTATTGAATGCGACTTTCATTCCACTTTGTGCTATGTAAAATGCTCACACTCATACAACCTTAAATGCGTCCTGAAAGCTAGACACGACTTGTAAATAGGCATACGCTGTTTTTGATATCATTATCAGAGATAGATTAACACCAGGGTATACTCTTCAGATTCGCTACACCTGACTGCTAAATTTAGAAAGGATGTAAGAAATTAAAATTCATTCTTTCTGATCGATTAAAGTATATTAAACTTCTATAAAATATAAACAAAGCCAACTTTTTTTTATAGAAAACCTCCTGAATGCTAGTTGTGTCCTCTGGATTTTGTGCAATTTGTGTAATTATCTACATTTACAGTAAGTATTGTAAAACTGCGTTTGTCTTAGTTGGAAGTGTCGCCCGCTTGGCGCAGTGGTTAGAGCGTCTTCTCTAGAGTTGCGAAGTAATGAGTCAATCCTTACATCGCAGGTTCAAATCCCACTGTGGGACGTGGAGACCGGTCCTTCGGATGAGACCGTATAAACCGAGGTCCTGTGTCGCAGTAGGTGCTGGCACGAAAAAGATCCCTCCCTGCTCAATGGCCCTAAGTGCCGAGTATAGGACAAAATTTGTAGCTCTCCAACGGCAAGTGGTGACGCCAAGGAGATGCAGAGCGAGGACCAATGGGTGGACTTCATGAGACAGAGAGACATGCCCTCTGGTAATTTTATGTTTGTGGTGTAGCAAGAAAGCTGCAAGGAGTAAAATTGAATAAGTGCATTGTTCTTTTTTGGTTGTAATTAAATGGAAACGTAAGGGAAGAAATTAGAGGAAATAGAAAATGGAAACGTAAAATCAATCGGATCTTTCATCAATTTTTTTTAGCATTGTTCTCACCGTTAACCATGCTAGGGTTGTTAATGTTCTCCTTAGACAAGGGATTGAAGTTTACATCTCTACTTCATAAAAATATATGAATGATTTGATCAAAACTGAGTCTACAGAATTTGAGGGTGTTTCCATACAAGTTTTGTCTTTCATGGCACGGAGTTCTTGAGAAGCCTTCGGCTCAGGTGAGCTAAAAACCACACACAAAGACGGGATCGTCGTGTTTGGTTGAGATTGGAGGATTTACTATTTTCGTGATAGAAAAAAATTGATTTCTCTAATTTACACAAAAATATCGTCATGACCTATTTTACTGATTTACTTTTTATCTCAGGTTACTACCACAAAGACAGGTGTGTTGCAAACTGGAATACCCGAATGACGCCTATTCGGATAAACACGGGATTTACCCAGCATGCCCCCACGAAATCTTCAAGACATTTCCTGGCCGAAATCTGACGCCTTTGTTCCACTAGAAAGAGCTGACCGAGGGAAATATTACGGCTATTATCACGAAGCTATTGAGCGGGAAAGAGAACGAAGAAAGAAGGAACTTCCCGAAAGTATGAGAGTGGAAGCCAGAAACATTCCGATGTTATAGATATAGAGATTTGTGCAATTCTAGGAAATTAAATATGAATGTGTGTATTCGTGCAGTATTATACTTGTGTAATAATTGTAAACACGTCACCAATACTTGGTCTATGCTTGTGTAACTAGATGTTTATCTGGCTTGTTTTGTTGTGTTTTTTAAAATTTATTTTAAAGAATAAAATATGCATTATTTTTTTTTGTTATAAATATTACATACAGAATAAAAAGAAATTCATAGGTTTAAGTCTTGTGGACACATCAAAGCTCTCGCAATAAAGAAACATAAGTAATCAGAGATTACAGAGCTTACTTCAACAAATGTTGTCTGTAAGTAAGGCAAAATCCCACATTAAGCTTTCAATCTAGACGTTTACATTCAAAATGCGAAATTTATGCAATTATGATCTGACATGGCTAAGCAATTACTTTGGAACGGATTTATCTAAAACTTTGTCCATCAGGAAAATGTTATTCAAATTACCATCTGAAGAAATTTGTAAGTTTTCATCTCTTTTGATGCAACTCCATGCAAGGCTGGTTAATGTAGGCCTTACGTTTCTTGGTAATGTATCTGGAATCATAACGTCTACCTGGTCCATTATCTGGAGAATGTATGTCAGATCCAGCAGCCGAAGCAAGTCCTTTGGTGTGCATCCTAAGATGTAACACCCTTGCAAGTTTGGTCCAGGAAGGGCTTATATCTACTTTAGGATGAAGCTGCTCTAAAACCTCATCCAAACAATAAACGTTAAATCCAGCACCCGAAGCACGCCTGTTAGTGTGTATATTTAGATGTATCATTCATGCATAGAGGCATATAAAGAAAATTGTTGCATGAAAATATTTAATTTTCAAGCTTCATTTAAAGACTTTTTGAATTAATTTGTAAATTAAAGAGTTGTCCTTCCTAGCTGAAGGTCGGCGTCCTTTAAAGGAACATTGGATACTGAAACATATCGTTATCTAAATGATAACGAGTCGTCCATTAAATTTGAACACTTGTTCTTGCTCTCTAAAATACACAAGATCAAATATAATTTTTTAACTTCTCTCATGAATGGCACTTGCAGCCCCAGACGGTTACCACCTGGGCGATCTATAATTTCACAATGCGATACGCCAACACATAAAATTGGTGCTTAGTGTGATCAATTTCTAATCCCGTTAGTTAAAAACAATCGACCTATATAAAGGATACCACTGATTTAATTTTTAATAAAATCGAAACTTTATGCCTATACCATCGCAAATCTTATGGAACACATACGATGTTACAAGTATGTATACTAACATGGAGTTCCATGAATTATTATGCGCTGTTGACGAAGCTTATACAAATAACGAAAAAGACCTCTCAGAGTAACCCTATCCAGATGTCTCAGATCTCCTCTTCTTTGTGAAATGCATACACGAAAATAATTATTTTAAATTTAATGGAAAATATTCCAAACAAATCATCAGGTGTTCAATGGGTTCAACTGTTTCCCCATAACTCTCTGATATTAGAATGCTCCAAATAACCCAATCAATCATGGCAAAGTTTTAATTTGCTAATAAATGCATAGAGACATGGTGAGATTCTCGATTTCTTTGACCTCGGTAATCAGTGTCATCCGCACTTAAAATTTACCTTCGAAACCTCTTTTGATTCAGTGAACTTTTTAGACACAACAGTATATAAAGGAAGAAAATTTCAAGAATCAAATAAGCTCTCACAACCCGGCGGTATTCAAAAGTTTTATTAAAGGTGAATGCATAAGACATGTGAGGAATACGAATGACACTGCAGCTCTCAATATTATTCTACAAGACTTTAGGAAACACTTGTCAAAGAGAGGCTACGTACTCTGATACAGAAATAGATCCTATTATCACAAAAGTAACCGGAACAGACAGACAGGATATCCTAAATAAAAGTAACAACAAATTAAAACTGCACAATAAATTGGGTATGGTTACAAAATATAATCCCCGAATCAAAGGATAAAAAAAAAGCATTTTAAAATAATGAAACGAAATGCAAACAAACACAAGATGCAAAGAATTATTTATATCGGAACCAATTATAGCTTATAGCAAAGACAAAAGCATAGGCGAAATAATAATTAGATCACATTTACCACAAGATCACAATGCTAAGATGGACCCCTGAAGAGGCTAGCCTTAGGGCAAGTACCCGTACAAAGACTGCCAAAACACTCTTTGTTATATTTCATAATACATTTATGAATGCTTTTATTTTCTAACAGAACTGAATGTCGCAAAGTTTGGTTCAGACTGTAGGGTCTTAATAAATTTCATTGACAAGTTTGGCTGTTTGATGTCTTTATTTTCACAGCTGGGAAGTGCAAAGAACTGACATAATTATGCTGAAAGTGGTGATAGCTAGGTAGACCAGATGAAAACGATTCTATAGTTTTGTGAATTAGGCATCATTAAAAGTAAATGATAAATTCCTTGCCAAAATGATAAATAGACAGTTCCTTTCAAATCAAGTTAATCATAGTATAGAAACAAACAGACAGTCTCTTGATCATTATGAATAAAATTAGATATTAAGGGAAGTAACTCAAAATCAAAGAACAGTGTTGGTATTTCTGTGTTTTGTTTCAATATTTGCAATATGAGAAAAAGTATACGTTTGTCATCAGAAAGTTTAAACAATGTATTTTATGTATAAAAAATATGAAATAAACGGGTTTTAGAAAAAAAAACTTATGGTTAAAAATAATATAGGACCATTTTATCAACATTTTACATAGTAAATGCATTGAAAATTGTAAAAACATTGATTGGACAAAATCTTTAAAGGAAGGCTGACTTGATGGGTTAAAAGGACCTGAATTAAACATGTTTGGTACCATTAAACCTGTTCAAAAGTTCTTTAAAAAATCTATACAAAATCCAGAAACGATGCCAATATCCTTAAAAAAAACAGGCCTATTATTACACATTATAAATTTGTTTATTGTTTAACGCCGAGTCGGCAATATGCAGCCATGTTTATCGTAGGATCATACCCATAATGGAAAGATCATCTTCCTTAAATAAACTAAAAATATGTCCATAGAACATGAATGCCCCTTCGAGGATTTCCTAGTAATTGGGCAAAAAAATTTGTATTAGTGCATAAAATTTGACCGAAATGTTTTAAAAATTGATGCAGTTGAATTGCTTACATCAGTAGGTTTCAGCATATTAAGTTTGACACCAATTTCCAAAAAGTGAGACCAAGGTAAAAAAAAAATGTTGAAGCAACTGAAAGGCTTTCAATAGTATGTGTCAGCATTAAAGTTGAAAAAAAATACTATGAATGGTTTCTTTCAAAACTGACTTAAACGCAATTTTATAAAAGTGAGGTCAAGGTCAAAAAGGTCAAGGTAAAAAAAATTAGGCTGTTGAATTGCTAACATTAGTACATGTATGTATCAGCAAATGAAATATCTTACTTATTCAGGAAAAGTGAGTCAAGGTAAAAAAATGCAATTGAATAGCTCTCATCACTATGTATTGTTACGGCCATTTCGGTTACTAGACGTTTAAGGGTAATGTGTGTGATGTGACGTCATCGTTTTTGGGGCACAGTATTTTTTTGTGTAGAGCCCGTGTTATCATGGCAGAACGCAGCAGGGCTTGGTGCTGCAATTGTTTCCAGTTTGCCATTTGCTAATTTCTATGTTTTCTATTCTTTTTACTGATATTTATTTCACCGCAGGAAACTTCTAATTGGTGAGTTTTTCTATGTAAATCATTTAGCTGTATAAACTGTATACTTGTCATCTCGGTAAGCCTCTATTAAGTGTATAAAAGGAAAGAATAATTTTAAGAAACAAGTCAAGGGCATTTTAGAACATGAAAATGATATGTTTCAGTACTAGCCTATAGACTATATTTTACTTTTTTATTTATGTCAATGTTATCATACTTAAACAAAATTTTAGATGTTTATGCTAAATATACTTGTGCCAAAATTATTATAGTGATATAGTTATGGAAAATTCATTACTTTGTATTGGTATTTGTTATTTAAGATAGGACTCCATTAGAAATAAGCTCTCGAGCTTTAATGGGTTATCCTGGTATCTCTAGTCACCTTGAATTTTTGATTTATCTCTAAAAATATTACATGTATTACTAAAATTATTTATTTATGAAATCTTGATTATCAACTTTTGTCTTTCATATGATCATGTAAAAAAAAATGTGTATTTGTTTTATGTATGATGACATGATATCAAATAAATACTACTATGTGCACACTCATTACGTAAGGCAGATAACGCTATTATCTGCCATGTTTTTCTATCATGATTTGTGTAAAGAAGAGTTATGCCTCTTTGTTTACATTTTGACGACAGTTTTGTGTATTGAAGTATTTTCTAAAATATGTAATATCATGTAATCATGATTATTTGCTAGGATGTTTTATCATGTGTAACTTGCTTGAAATAGCTTATATTTATAGTATGTTTTGCAGTAAATCGTCATTTCCACGTCAATGTAAGAGTCATCGTGATTTCCACGTCAAGGATTTAGTCATCGTCATTTTCATGTCAACTTCAAGTCATATTAAACATGTTAAAATCATTAAACGCATTTACAACGTTGTTTTCTTTATTTCCTGTCCGGAGTAAGTACATGTAGCATCATATGAAGTTTGATGACACCATCTTGAATGGATTGCTAAATACTGAGCTAAATAGACACCATCTTGAATGGTTTGTTAAAGACTGAGCTAAATACTTAAATAAGACAAGAGGTCCACAGACCTTTTATGTCACCTGAGTAGCGTATCAACTTTCCAACAACTGAATTAGGTTTGACTATTCGAAAACAAAAGCCTTAAAATTCACAATTTTGAAAGATGCGCCCTTGTTTATCGTAACTATACACTTAGCATGCTTATTTTGGTTACTTTTAAATACCCAAAGGCAGATCAGAGTAAAAGAGTGGAAATGCATTTTCCCTTTACATGTATAATTACCAGTTGTGCACACCAACCCAGAGGAACCACTTACCCCGGGGCCACATATTTCAATATTTGGAAACTTTTTCAATTTCATTTAATCAAAAATGGGTGATTAACATCAAAGAGCAGATTTTAAAGTATGACTTTATTTTCAGACTAACGTTTTTACCCCCCCCCCCTCCCCCCCTTGTGTCTGCAGTACCCCTAATGCAGGGGCCCTGAAATTGACCATTTTTCGAAGAGGCATCTTTCTTCATCAGCAATAAATACACTTTGATCATTGGCATTATACCAAGAGGCAAAGGCAAAGATTTCCAAAGAATTCAAAAGAATTCATGCGTTTTAACAATACATGTATAATCATTATAGAAGCCCGCCCTAACACTTGAGATTCCCTGATCCAGGTGTCATGAAATTCACAAATTGGAAAGAAGCATCCTTCCTCATTTTTAGTTTTAAAGAATTCATGTTTTTTTAGTATATAAACAACAGAGCCCAACCCTAACACCAAACCACCTGACCCAGGGGTCATGAAATTCATAATTTTGGAAGAGGCAGACTTATTCAATATAACCATAACATGGGTAATCTATTTCATACCCAGGAGAAGAGTAGATTTTTTAAAAGAATTAATGTACATTTATTTTCACCTCATAAACAATCAAAGAGCCCCGGCTTAACACCAGAAAATCACCCATGGGCTATTCAATTCACAATTTTAGAAGAGGCATTGTCGGCCATGATAATTACGTATTTTGTTTGTTTGTTTAATACCCTGGAGCAGAGAAGAAGATTTTCAAAGAATTAATGCATTTACACAATATTTAGTTTATAACCAATAGAGCCATAACTTAACACAAGACCCCATGCCCAGGGGCCATGAAATTCACAAATTGGGATGAAGCATCTTTCCTTATCATAACTTTATACGTATAACTTTGTTTTAATATCAAAGGGCTGAGGAGGAGATTTTTAAAGAATTGATGCTTTTTCACTATACAATCAATAAAGCCCCGCCATAACACCAGAACCCTGACCCTGGGGACATGAAATGCACAATTTTGAAAGAGGCAATCTTATTCAACATAACTGTATACTTGGTTAGCTTATTAAATGCTCAGGAGCAGAGATGAAGATTTTCAAAGTAATAATGCAATTTCAATATAGTAAAAAGTCTATTTAGCCCCAGCCTAGCACTAGCACCCCTGACCCTGGGGCCATGAATATCACAATTTTGTTAGAGGACTGAATGCTAATTACAATCATGTCAAAAGTTTGACTGCTTGATGCATAGAAGAAGATTTTTAAAGATTGCACTTATTCTAATGGTTTTGGCCCCACCCATTAGGTCCCAGGGGACAGGGACCATAAAATTCACAATTTTTGTTCCCATTCACCCATAGATGCTTTGTGGTTGAAATAGGTTCAGTGGTGTCAGAGAAAAAGCTAAAAATGTTCAAATGTATTACACACGGCCTACGGCCGACAACGCACAACGACAGACAACAATGGATAGCCATAAGTCACCTGAGTTTACTCAGATGACTAAAAAGTGAGTTGAGGGTCAAAGGAAAGGACAAGGTCAAATAATGTTGATGCAGATGCATAGCCATCATTATTTATCAGCATTTGAAGTTTGATCATGATGATGAAAATATCTTGGTTAGTTTCTTTGTAACTGAGCTTTAAACTCAGCTCAATGTAAAATGTGACAGAAGGACAGACGGAAGACGGACATGACAAACACTTTATGCCCCAGCCATACTCATGGCAGGGCATAACAAGAACATTGCGTAGACAATGCAACATTTACAAGGAAAACTATAATTACGATATTGCAGTAGTTTACATTTTAGATTTAGAAATCTTGTGGTCGATCAAATGAAATATTCCCATTCAAATGAAAATGTGAGATTTAAAAAAATGTACATATGTACTCTAATGCATCATAAAATGTTCTACGTTTCTACAGTTACGCGTGTATTTGACATATTACAGTAACTGAGTAAACAGTTTTGAAAATACATTTTTTTTTGCATTCTGATATATTTTGAATAACTTTACTGTTCCTCCCTCTTTGAATTTTGATCTCCATTCATGAAATTAGAGTACTGTAAATGTATATAAACATTTGGCTGTGTATTCGTTTTAGTGCGTTTGCTATGAAGAAACTTATGCTTACTCAAGTACAATGCAATATTTAAAAGTATTCTGAAAAATACAAAATCATATCTATGCTTACTCGTTCAAAAGTAAATTTTCGCCTTAATATCGTACAAGATAAATATAATCCATTCATTATTTTTTCATTGTAAAAAAGATAAATTCGTTTTAATCAGCGGTCCCAGAATTGAGATAACAATATGATGATGAGTCACAGGTTTACGCATCAGATCCTACAAATATATCATATCACTGATATTCGATAATGAATTCCGACTACCGGTACTTTAATGATATACACTTTCACGAAGTCATACGATTTACAAGTAATACTCCTAATTTGTAGCATCTTTGCTTTCATACGTTGTTTCTAGGACATCCACACGTACTGGCTTCACCGTAACCCGCTAAGTTTTTATGTTATGTTTCCAATATTTCGCTCCGCATTCTAAGGCTGGTTATCCTAATTTGTAGCATCTATGTCAGGTTTGAATGTTGATTCGAATTCTTGCATATTTAATTTGATTTTCTCCCACATTTCTTTCATTTTTTTAAAAGTATCTTCATCTTTCTCCTTTATGTGTAGTTTTTGAATATTTTCAAGCTTATCGAAGTACTTCTTTCCCGTGAAGATTTCCAATCTCTTGCAGATATCTGACATCATTGACCAGGTGTCTTTAAATTCTGTCTGAGGGGTGGAGGCTGAGCTCACGTGTGCAGTCAAACTATTTCGGATTGACCTAATTCTCTCGATATCATCACCGACAGTTTCCTCTCCTGTTGCAGGCTCCTCTCCCCATTTTCCTTTTGTCGGTTTAGGGATAGTTGAACAAATGTTCCTGATCAATGTGTATGTTAATGAAATATCAAAATTCTTATATCCCAAATGTGTAGCATCTATCAACAGTTGTTCTTGTTCAGGGCGCAATCTTTTGTAAAAATTTGGCGATGCCACCACTTTTTGATAAACAAGTGAAGGAGGGACCTCCATCTCTAGTATATCTCTGTATGACTGATTTAATATGTCATTTGTTGCCATTCCAAGTTTGGCAAATCTAGATCGGCCCCCAAGGTCTTGTCCAGAAGCCGTAGAACTGCTGGCATTACTCGGTTTTGTCTGAAACAAGCTAATTTAGTTAATATTACTATCCGGTCTTAGAGGAAACATATATAAAATAATTAATAAAACAAATCATATTTTAAATTAAACGTAAATATAATTTTTTTTCTTGGAAATTAAGATCCTAAAATGGATATAGGTGGAAGCAGCATTTTATGAATAAATTAAAATTGAATGTTGCTATGATTTAACAGGATCTCAATGTCATATAATCATTCAATATGAAAAATGATGCATTGATGTATTTTTTATATTTCAAAAAATTACCTGTTCCCAGTATTTTTTTATATCTTCTGTGATGATACGATGCTTTTTGTTTGCCGGACAGCATGGGCACTGAAAAATTTCTTTGATGAATTTAGATTCACTTATGACAGCGCTTTTTCTGCTGTCACAAAATCCAGTAGAATTGCATTTGAACGCAACCTGAAATTCAGAGTTTTTCTGGAATGTGCCGGAAAGGTTATGTAATATATGCTCAATGTTTTCTCTAATCTGGTGACAGGTTGAAACATCAACTTCTCCCTCCACAACAAACACTTGCACCTGAATTTCTGTTTGAGTCATTCCAAGCATGATGTTATGGTGCTGGTCATGAAACATGAGAATAGCTGCAGTCTGGTAAATGCATCCCCTTTCTTCATCTGTAAAAATCTCCCAATTAGGAATCTGCATGCATGTTGCTACAAGGCGATGGAAAATTTCCACAGGAAGAACATCAAATGTGTAGCAAAGGATGGAGGAGGCAGGGTATGAGGAAAAACAGTCTACTGGAAATTGCATCTTGTTCATACACGGGACATACCATATTTTGTCGCTCAATTTAGCCAAGAGTCCTAACTTCTCCATGTACATCATGATATCCTCTTTGTGTTCAAGGTAACCATTGTTGTTCATTCTCCATATAGCAGATAGCAGTGCTTCATCTAATTCTCCAGTTTCATTGAATTTGTCCCATTCTGAGGCAAAATTAAATAAATCTTCTTGTGCATGGTTTTTATCTGTTATGACATTTCTAAAGGCATCTGCAAACCACTGAACATCGAGGATAATAACTTTATTGAGGAATTGTTGATTGAAGTGCATAAGTTCTCTGATGTCGTGGAAGAACTGCAGCATGGCATCCATATCTTCAATAGTATGGAGCTTTATTCCCTCTGGCAATGTTTCATTAAAAGACTGAAGTTCAACCCTACTCAAAATTTTGCAAATTTTCTTTTCCTGAAAGAATGTTTCAAACATAGCCCATGACTGTGGAAACTCTTCACCCCAGTGATCAAGCTTGCACACGAGGTCAGCAATGCACAGCTTAAGTTTTTCAAGGCTTTCATTGTCATGGAATCCGACGGCAAATCGCCGTTTCACATCAATATGTTTTTGCAAAGACTTCTTCTTCATGTCAAGAGTCTTCCATACTTCTCGGAAAAACAATTCTTTTTCCTAACGAAAACAAATTGCTTATTTTATTTTGTGCTAACAAATTAGTCATAGTAAAATAATGTTCATAATCATACAATGATTGTTAATGTTTGTTCCCCCAGAGTTTATGAAACACATGTATACCTATTATTATTACCGTAAACATACTTTTTTCCACAGGGTCATAATTCTGCGAAATCTTAATTTCTGATTAATCCGCGGGAAGAAAATTATGGGGATTTCTTAGACTGTCACTACATGCCTTACATTTAAAAGTACTAGCTGAAATCCCATGCAAGCGTGGGGGAAATCAATTTTATTTTACTGCTAACAGCTAGAACTATTTTCCAAAATCTATCAGAGACTTTACACAGGAATAGGCCTACAGCATGACGAAATACTTCAAAGTTCCACAATTATTTTAGGAGGAGAAATAAATGATTATTAGAAATACACTCCCCTATATTTTGTTGTTTTTCTTTACTTCTACAAATATCATTTTCATTAAAGGCCTCTTCTTCTTACATGATATAAAGCAACTTTATTCTGTTGTACCTGCACGGATCTACAGGGTGTCCTCCGGGCACACCCCCCCCCAAAAAAAAAATTTGCAGAGTTATTTTATGTACATAATAAACCAAGTAAAAGTGACCTTGGACACCCCTCCTTAAACAAAGCCTTCCTCGAAAACACGGATCTATGTGGTATTGGTGTGGAAAGTCATTAGAATCACTGAGAGTCATCCACTACACCCTACCCACCCCACGAAATAGGTTTTCTTTGCTTCTCAAGAAAATTCTGGAATGGAATTTTTTTGACTGGGATGGACCCCCCCCCCCCCCCATTTAGAAAAAAAAAAAATCTGGATCCGCGCTTTGTTGTACTATCTTATACATTATGTACTACAGGTGCTCATAGGCATTTTTTCTTTAAATGTTAGAAACTTTATTTTAATATAGTTTGAGGTATATTATTGCTTATCATACTTCAGATAATCTATTTAAATTTACGTCAAGGATAAGAGAATGAATGTATGCAATTAACTTTAAGTTTTCATATATTTGCCAGCATTTTAAAATATTGAAAAAAGTTTTGTTTTCATCCCATATGTACATACGGGCATAAAAGTTATATAATTTTTTTTATTAAAAATACTGTATGTAGAATACTCATCAAAGAACACATTAAAATATTTAAAAATCAAGTATGTACCATTTTTTTCTGTCTAAACAAATAAACATGGCCTTTCATCGACAATTTTTTTAATAAAACATTTGCACAACTTTCTAAGATATATTCACAACCTCACTGTGTTACCAATTTCATTACATTTATTTCCATGTCCATTTATGATATACAATCGCTTCGATTTTCATTTTTAAAATGGGTTCGATGCCACCTGACTTTCTAGAACTTTCAACAAATAGCGAGATCGGACATAAACGGAAAGGATTTGCACACTTTGTTTTTTAATCAATGATCAGAGCTTATTTCTTTTATATCACTTGGATCAAGTTTTGATTAAATAATTCATTAATGACATTTTATGAAATAAATAAGCGCTTGCTTTTCGTCCGTTTCTTTTTTAAAATGCCAGTTACTTAGATCCGCCACCACTTTACTTTCCTTAGTGCTATTTCGAGGCTGTTAACCCAAAGTGAAAATAGACTTTTAATTAAATTTACGATAATTACTACATGTATGCAAGTCAAATCTGAATATAGTTTACAGACATCATATTATACCTAGTGTATTCCTACAGGCTTAAGTAACAACTCATGTGCAGCAGTTTCAAAGTTTATTAGCAAAATTTGTTATTTTATACATATAGATGCATGGACAATTTTCCGTGAAAAATCTGTGACCACGTACATAGCGTAAATTAATACCACGTGGAAAAAAGTACTTCTTACAGTATATTAAATATATACAAATCAGAAAAACCATGAAAAAGTTATATATTTGATCATGAGTACACAATAAATAACAGTATGTTACCTTTTCTGTTTTTTTCTCACAATGTGTACAAACCAGGATGACAGGAGCCTTATCACTGCCATATTGATGAATGGACTTCATCCAGAATTCTAGATAATCTGAAAAACAAAGAAACATTTACCTGTAAAAGTTTTCAATAAGATAGATTGCAGAAAATGGCAGACGTAGATGAGGAACTCTATATGTCAAAGCTATTTACAAGGCGGGGCGTAATATAACAAATTTATTACCTTCGTAAAGCTTCACAGAAGGAAAAACAAAATAGGAGATAATTCTCATTTAGGATAAAAGTTTCTTAGGTCTAAAGTTTCAAAATTCAATGGGGCAGATAGGTTCTGAAAATCGAAAATTTACTTATTTCCTTTTTAATATGGCAATACCATTTATCAATGCAATAAATTTTGATCTGAAGCAGTGGTGCTTGAAAACGATTTGGGCCATACATGTAATAAATTAAATGCTACCTCTGTGTGTCCATCCTCCGTAAACAGAGCCTTCCTGACAACACACGTCTTCTCCAACCTTATCATCAAACTTCCTCTCCATATTCAGCACCAGAATAAAAAATGCCCGGGGACTCAGAAAAATCTGGTGTGAGGCATAATATGAACACTGTCCTGCAAAGTCAGTCATGGTGATTCTTTTATCTGGATTTTCTGAAATATCTTCTACACCTATCTGTAAATTTCCAGAAAATTCTGGACTATGAAGAATATCTTTTCTTTTCTTCATAACTTCGGCTACATTTTCTGGTGATGTGGCCCCCTGTGGTTCATCGGATGAGGTAGGATTAATATCAATATCATCATGTGATATCTGTCCACTGCTTGATGCTTCAGTCGTACTGCCCTCATCATCTTCTAGTTTCATCTTTTCCTGCGTTTCCCCATCATCAGCTGCATTCTCTGAATAGTAATTAGGAACACTCTGCTTCATATCTTTTTTATCAAGTCTAAGTTTAAAGTGTTGCTGTTGGCGTGAAGAGTTTGCTGCAAATGAAAATGAATGCTTATTTAACACCTTCTAATTTTCTTGTCCCTGTACTTTATGCAAAGAGACATTTATTCTACTTCATATAAATCTGCAACTCAAGAAATAAAATCTAGAGGTACTGAGAGTATTGAGCTCATGAAATGATATCCCATGGCAGCTTCCATATAAGTATGATGGTGAAGTCTACTATTGAAAAACCAAATATCTGTCCTATCTTAACATAAAGAATGAGCTACGCAATGACAGTATGTAGTAAATATTATGTAAAAGTATCATTTAACTTTATTCAGTTCAGAGTTGTACAGGTGGAGTTGTAAATACAAGATGGGTACCACCAATATAATGGAAGTTCCTAAGTTTTGATTTTAACAGGAAACGAAAAATATTACAATTCAGGAAGTATTACAATTCAGGGGCATTATACTGTAAATGTATTATATTTAGCGCGTACGATATTTGGCGGAAATTGGATTTTAAACAAGTTAGCGTGGATTTTATTTAGCGCATTTCTAATTGTTCTTCTTCATAGATATATGTGCGAGATAGTTAGCGTTGTACTTGAATTAGCGGACACTTCTAAAACGCTAAAAAGAATACACAGCCAAATGTAATACGTTTACAGTATTTCTACCGTCACATGAACAAAATATTTGACAAAATATTGAGCATTCACCATTTGATCAAATATGACTCTTATGAAATGATTTACTTTTTTTTATTTGAAGTCCATCATACAAAAGCATTAAATCACAATCAATATAAAAAATACCTTGGATGCTTTCTGTCACATTAAACAAATCAGTGTGGATATCCACTCCTCTAGTTGACCTGATATTTTTCTTTATTTCTTCCAGGTCAATCCCCTTAAGTCTCTCCAACAATGTTGTTTTCCCACTACCAGCACACCCTATTATCATCCCAGAGGCATGATACATGGTTGTCTTCCCTTTCTTTAAATTCTCAATGAAGTTCGTCACTGATTTGTCTCCCCGTAGTATAATCTGCATTGGTATTCCAACTGTAATGACAAAACTCTAACATTACAAACCTGTGACAGAGTCAAACGCATGACAAAAAACAATCATAAAAATAGCTTTCCTATCATGGAGATCCAAATAGCACATGTATAATTTTCATTGATTTGTTTATTCCTTATAAGTATGCCCAGTAAAACTAAAAGTAGAAAAAACAGATGAGCATATTATATTGGTTAAATAAGAATACTTTTACTGTTAAAAAATTAAGCCTGGGACGACATATCGAGATATCTGTGAGGACGATACGCATATCGATACATACGAGGGTTGTCCCAAAAAGTCGTAGACAATGTGTATAATTTTTTTAACACGCAACCAATACGTATCAAATTTTGCAAAGACATAATATAGTCAATATTCTTTAAAATTGTGAGTTTTTATATACATATCTTTCATATTAATAATATGCGGACGATTTATATGAAGGCTGATAAGGCCTGTCGGCACACGGACAAAATTCGGAATAATTTACGCGTATAACAACTACATTTGCTTTAGATTCTTTAGTACTATGTAATACATTGAACTCAAATTTAAATCACTGACACCAGAATAAAAATCTTAATATTATATTAAAATTTCATATAAATATCATTAGAAACAGAAGCTTGGTGTCATGATTTTCATAGTATCGTTGAAATTGAGTATGTTGAAAATGACGTCGTCAAACGCGTGGTCGGCGCACGGAGATGTAATAGATTGTATTGGATATAGTTAATATACATAAGAGACGGGGGAGTAGAGTACAGAAGTGACATTACACACCAGATTTTAATAAAGAAATTATTTTTCAATTGCACAATATTCAATGAGAGTTTTTCTTCTGTTCCGAAAATAGTTAATTACGGCATGTAAGTAGTAGAGTACTGTTTGATAAACTCAGACAATTGGGAACAATTTGGACCGCGAACGACGTCAAACAATTTGTATTCGATCTTTGCTGCCTACAATGTAAGACGATTTTTCGACTAAATTTCGACTGAAATTTGAATCTGCTTTAAAAAAAAAACAAGTATAAAAACAAACGGACAGTAGTGAATTTAAATATGTCCCTTAATCAAGAGTGGTCTATCACTTAAAAAAATTATTGAATGTTAATACCCGCGAGTGAAGCAGACACATAGATCATGACGTTATAAGAGACGTAATTTAGGCTTGCTTTCGTGCGCCGGTGTACACTTATATTCTTTCTTTATTTTTGTCCCCTGCTTTCGCGAAAGCGAGGGGACATTAAATCTCATTCGTCTGTCCGTCAGTCTGTCAGTCTGTCCGTCTGTCAGTCTGTCAGTCTGTCCGTCACAAAAACTTTAACCTTGCCCATAACTTTTGATTTAGTGGAGCTATGACTTTCATATTTCACATGTGTATTCCTTATGACAAGACCTTTCTTTGGGTACAACCAAATTTGACCTTTTGACCTTGACCTTGGAGTTTGACCCACTTTTACACAAAAATTCCAAACTTTTACTTAAGCCATAACTTTTGAATAGTAGGTACTAGGGCTTTCATATTTCAGACACATATATATTGTTTGTGGCAAGACCTTTCATTGGATAACAACAACCTTGACCTTCTGACCTTGACCTTGGAGATTTACGTACTTATTAAAAAACTTTAACCTTGACCATATCTTTTGAACGGTGAGGACTAAGGCTTTCGTACTTCACATATGTAATACTTGTGAGAAGACCTTTCATTGGATACCAATAACTTTGACCCTTTGACCTTGACCCTAGAGTTTTAACTACTTTTAAAAAACTTTAACCTAGGTCACAACTTTTTAACAGTAGATACTAGGACTTTTATATCTCACATATGTATTTCTTGTGGCAAGACATTTCATTGGATACCAACAACCTTGACCTTTTGACCTTGACCTTGGAGATTTACATACTTATGAAAAAACTTTAACCTTGACCATGACTTTTGAACAGTAAGGGCTAGGGCTTTCATACTTCACATATGTAATCCTTGTGAGAAAACCTTTCATTGAATAAAAATAAATTTGACCTTTTGATCTTGACCTTGGAGTTGACCTACTTTTAAAAAAACTTTTTTTACTTTGACCATAACTTTTTAACGGTCAGGATTAGGGTTTTCATCCTTCCAAAAATATCAACTTAAATGATTATTTCTAAATTAATGACATATGATAAGATGTTCATATTAGACACAATATGTCATAAAAAATAACATCTCATCCACAAAGAAACCGAAAGCGGGGGACCACAATTCTTTGAATTTGCTTGTTTCATAATTTTCTTATAAGTTGTGATATCATCATGAAACTTGAAGTGCATGATCATAAAATGTTACTCTTTGCTATGACAAGGAAAACTAGAACTGTCCAATAGGGACAAATACCCCCCGCTGGGTTTTTCAGAGAAGGTGCTAATTTAAAAATACTTTATGGATCTAGAGGTGTTCACAATTTATATACTTACAAAAATTTGCAGTGAAATATAATTGCTCATCATGTTTCTTAATGAATGAAACAAAGGTGCAACCAAATGAAACATCAATACTACATGTAATACATTGTAATTCCATTCTAACATTTTTTTTATTTTTTCATTTTATTTTTTTTTATTTCTGCATTAAAAAAATATATTGCAATTATGTGTTATGTCACTCTGCAAACTGAATGTTGAAAAAAAACTAGTATACAAAAGCAAATTAATCTTGATATATCAATTTGAAATGCATTTTGAAAATAAAGACCTGGTCATCCAGTAATGAAGTGCTTTGACAGACAATAAATTACAATTAAGAGAATAAGAGAAGAGAGATCTTTAATTCTTGTGCCTTATTCCCTGGAGATTAGATAATACACACGCTTGATAAGAGATATGCCTTAACAACTTCCAACACCAAACTCATTAATTTATCTTTAACTGGATGCATGTCCAGTCATTATTCCCAAGAGACAAATGAAATAACATTATCTTCTGTGCAATGTAAAAACTGTTTTTAACACTTGATGATGTTTCTTTTTTTTAAGTTTTTATGAGTAGTTTTAAGCTGTAGTATTTTTGAACAGATATTCTAGATTCTATATCTCAAACCTTATACATGAGGCCAAAATGAACAAGTCAATTAAAATAAAAAATAAAACCTGTAAAATGCAAAAAAATAAACAAAAAGAGTTGAAAATTCCAGGTGCACACCTTCATATGGTGAATAATAAGTGTACAAATTTTCAGATTAATCCTTGTAATAGTTTCTGAGAAACGGTCCGGACAAAACCACAAAATAAAAATGAAAAAACACCTGTAAAATTCAAAATAATAATCGAATCAAGATGAAAATATCAGGTGCACAACTTCATATGGTGAATAATAAGTGTACAAATTTTCAGACAAATCCTTCCAATAGTTTCTGAGTAATGGTCCGGATAAAATCCCGTCTACAGACAAACAGACAGACAGACAGACGGACAGACGGACATGGTGATTCCAATATACCCCCCTAAACTTCGTTTGCGGGGGGTATAAAAATTTAATAAAGCAAAGAGAAACAAAACTGTTTTCCCTGTCTACGACTTTTTGGGACAACCCTCGTATGAAGAAATATCGAAATATCGCCCAGGGGCCTCATCGCTCACCTGAGCATATCGGCTAGAAAAAAAGCACAAATCAACTCAGAATTGAAAAGTTTACTGAGGGGGTGGGGGGAGGGGGCTTGAATTCTAATACTACTTGGGAATGCCTCTGTAACAGGAAAGGAGAAAATGTATGGCTGGACCGGGAATCAAACCCGGGACCCCTGCATCTCTAGCTAGGTGCTCTACCAACTGAGCTATCAAAGCCGGTATCCACGGTCCAAACCATTACATTCCTCCCTCTTTAAAGATCTTCGCCCTCGGAGACACAACCAAGTTCTTAGTTTTGGCTGGAATTTCACCTGCAATTCACCACCATGGCCCAAACCATTACACGTCCATATCAATTCTGCATATACATGTAACTTCTTGAGAAATTCTTGAGAAAAGGAGTTTTATAATTTTTTTTTAAACATTTTGTTTGTATATACATTACTTTGTAATAATTTGAATTTGACTCCCCATTGTTTCCCTCCCCCCCCCCCCCCCCCCCCAAAAAAAAGCATGATTGTCGGAAGCAAATTGAAAGTGGACTGACTAATTGAACGGGGGAGGGGCTAAACCAACAAACAAGAGGCCCATGGGCCACATCGCTCACCTGAGCACTAAGAGTAGGAAAAAGTACAAAATAGCTTTGTATTGTAAAGTTTAAATCCAAAAGTAGTCCCATGACCAATCATGGATTTGCTATTTTTTAGAAAATGATTGTTAAAGAATTTTCCTATATATATCATTAAAAACTTTGGTCGGCCATTTTGGCCCTGCCCTACCCCTGGGGGTCATGATTTGAAAAAAATTGAATCTACACTACTTGAGCATGCTTCCATATAAATATGATGAATTATGGCTTTAACATTTTTGAGAAGATTATGTTTAAAGAATTTCCCAATATATTTCTATGTTAAACTTTGGTCGGCCATTTTGGCCCCGCCCTACCCCCGGGGGTCAGGATTTGAACAAACTTGAATCTAAACTACCTGAGCATGCTTCCATATAAATATGATGAATTGTGGCTTTGTCATTCTTGAGAAGAAGATTTTTAAAGAATTTTCCTATATATTTCTATATAAAAACTTGGTCGGCCATTTTGGCCCCGCCCTACCCCTGGGGGTCATGATTTGATCAAACTTGAATCTACACTACCTGAGGATGATTCCACATGAGTTTCATGTTTCCAATACCAGTGGTTCTTAAGAAGAAGATTTTTAAAGAATTTTCCTATATATTTCTATGTAAAACTTTGGTACCCCCGGGGGTCAGGGAACAAACTTGAATTACACTTGAGGCTTCCATATAAATATGATGAATTATGGCTTTGTCATTCTTGAGAAGAAGATTTTTAAAGAATTTTCCTATATATTTCTACCCCCGGGGGTCATGATTTGAACAAACTTGAATCTACACTACCTGAGCATGCTTCCATATAAATATGATGAATTATGGCTTTGTCATTCTTGAGAAGAAGATTTTTAAAGAATTTTCCTATACTAGTATATTTCTATGTTAAACTTTGGTCGGCCATTTTGGCCCCGCCCTACCCCCGGGGGTCATGATTTGATCAAACTTGAATCTACACTACCTGAGCATGCTTCCATATAAATATGATGAATTATGGCTTTGTCATTCTTAAGAAGAAGATTTTTAAAGAATTTTTCCTATATATTTCTATATAAAACTTTGGTCGGCCATTTTGGCCTCGCCCTACCCCCGGGGGTCATGATTTGAACAAACTTGAATCTACACTACCTGAGCATGCTTCCATATAAATATGATGAATTATGGCTTTGTCATTCTTGAGAAGAAGATTTTTTAAAGAATTTTTCCTATATATTTCTATATAAAACTTTGGTCGGCCATTTTGGCCTCGCCCTACCCCCAGGGGTCATGATTTGAACAAACTTGAATCTACACTACCTGAGGATGTTTCCCCATAAGTTTCATCTTTCCTGGCACAGTGGTTCTTGAGAAGAAGATTTTTTAAATATGCCACCAAATTTTCTTTAATTCCCAATTATCTCCCCTTGAATGAGGGCGTGGCCCTTCATTTGAACAAACCTGAATTCCCTTTACCCAAGGATACTTTGTGGCAAGTTTGGTTGAAATTGGCCCAGCGGTTCTTGAGAAGAAGTCGAAAATGTGAAAAGTTTACAGACAGACGGACAGACGGACAGCTAGACAGACAGACGGACGCCGGACAAAATGTGATCAGAAAAGCTCACTTGAGCTTTCAGCTCAGGTGAGCTACAAAGGTAAACTTTCAATACCTCTATTATGTATACATTTGCAAAAAAATTACTAACCCCCAACCCCCTCCCCGTCCTGGCCACACACTCCCGTTCCAATGCCTATACCCAAAAGGGTACTCATGATTTGAACAAATCTAAATCTTCAATACATGAGGATGCTTACATGTCAATATGACTTAACATAGCTTTTCTGCTATTGAGATTTTTCCCCTTTATTCTCCGATGTAAAAGTTTGTAAAATGATGATTCACCATTGAAACCCTTCCCTAGCCTTGGGGATTATAATTTGAACAAATTTAATTCTACACTACAAGAGGATGCTTTCATGTAAAAATGACTTAACAAAGCTTTTCTGTTACTGAGATTTTTCCCCTTTATTCTCCGATGTAAAAGTTTGTAAAATGATGATTCACCATTGAAACCCTTCCCTAGCCTTGGGAATTATAATTTGAACAAACTTAATTCTACACTACATGAGGATGCTTCCATGTAAATATGACTTAACATAGCTTTTCTGTTACTGAGATTTTTCCCCTTTATTCTCCGATGTAAAAGTTTGTAAAATGATGATTCACCATTGTAACCCTTCCCTAGCCTTGGGAATTGTAATTTGAACAAATTTCATTCTACACTACATGAGGATGCTTCCATGTAAATATCAATAATCAGGGCTTTGTTATTCTTTAGAAAAAGATTTTTTGAATTGAATATATTTTAATGTAAAACTTGGATCCCTCGTTGTAGCCCCATCCTATCCCTGGGGGTTATGATTTGAACAAACTAGAATCTAAAGTACATTGTACCTGTTTTTATATAAACAGCACTAATCATAGCTTTGCAGTACTTGAAAAGAATTTGTTTTCTCTATATATTCCTATGTAAAACTTTGATCAGCCATTGTGGCCTCACTCTTCCCCAGGGGAGTCATGATTTAACAAGCTTGAATGTACACTACCTGAGGATAATTCAACATTAGTTTCATCTTTCCTGTCCCTATGGGTCTTTAGAAGATTATTAAAGATTTTTCCTACATATTCCTATGTAAAAATTTCATAGCCCAATGGGCACCATCCTACCGCCAGGGGTCATGATTTAACAAATTTGAATGTACACAACCTGAGGATAATTCAACATGAGTTTCATCTTTCCTGTCCCAATAGTTCTTGAGAAGAAGATTTTTAAAGATTTTTCCTATATATTTGTAAAAATTTAAGCGGCCATTGTGGCCCCACACTTGCCCTAGGGGTCATGATTTGAACAAACTTAAATCTCCACTACCTGAGGATGATTCCACAAAATTTTCATCTTTCCTGGTCCAGTGGTTCTTGGGAATTTTTTTTTTAATGCCATTAATTTTTCACTATTTCATAATTATCTCCCCATGGCCCTTCAATTGAGCAAACTTTAATCCCCTTTACCCAAGGATACTTTGTAGCAAGTTTGTTTGAAATTGGTCCAGTGGTTCTTGAGAAGAAGATGAAAATGTGAAAAGAGAAAAACGACAACGAGCCAACGATGACGACAGACAACGGACAAATTTTGATCACAAAAGCTCACTTGAGCCTTCGGCTCAGGTGAGCTAAAAAGGAGATCCAATGCGTAGAGTCTATTGACGACAAAAGGACTCTTACCACAGTCCATTCTTCAATGAAAAGCTCAGCTGCTTGAATGGCTCAGGTGAGCCAAGTCCTTTATTTTTAATTTACCACATTAAAGGGTTAAAAGAAAAAAAATATCTGAAAGCTTAGTTATAGATGAAATCACGGACAAATACTTGTAATTCATTACCCAAAAATTTCTTTTCTTTAATTTTATCAAAGTAACTAGTTCAGGTGAGCTGAAAATTAACTTACGTTTCCTAAATACGGCTTCATGGAATGACTGGTCCGTCATCGTTGGGTGTGTGAAAATATCTTCTCCAAGTCTTTCTAAAAACTCCTCATTTTTTTCTGGCAGCAACCAACAGCAAACTTCATCCTCTCCTCTCCGATAATTCCAGGATCTACAGTACTCGGCAATGTTTTCTTTTTCTGCCCTACTCAAGAAAATATCAGTAAACGTCGGATTCTTTGTAAATTTCAGATAACTTAAGTCTTTGAAGATCACAGCCGAGAAGCTGATCTCTAATTCATTGAGTTTCAGAATTGGCTTGTATTTTTGTATATCTGCAATAGCTAATGGCTTTGTGATTTCTTTGGAATGAAAACTTTTGGCAACAGCATTATATTTGGTCATCCAGTTTACTTCTTTCATGTTTATTTTGTAAGAATTGGAAAGAAGAAGGCACATCAATAGTGTATCTCCACCTACAAAATAAACAAGAAATGTATTATAATGTAAAAACTCAGAAATACATACTGAATGTATTTACATCACCAGCTGCTAAAAATTTAAAACAAATTTGAGTAAGTTTCCTATTTATATCTGCATAATACAGATTACAGATCTTCTTACATTGATTAAAATGTTTTTGAAAAAGGGGGGGGGGTGTCATGGAGACCCATGCAACACATTTGAGGTTGCTTTTCCACTTGTTGATTGATTGAACAAGTCATTAATTTCCACCACTAGATGGCATTAATTTTTTTATGTGTATTAGTATAGGAAACCCGAATCATTTAGCCTCTGTACAAAAATTCCATACATTACCATTACATGTACAATTGTGTAAGTTTATTAGTGAAGGTCCTTTATCATAACTTTAAATGTAAAATACAGTCCATTCAAGAATTTGGTGGTTTGTGGCCTTCATGCACAGATCTAGGGAAGGGGCGCACACACACACAAGGAATTTGCAAGGTTATTAAATTTATATACTAAAGCAACCAAAAAGTTACCTTGGACCCTCCATGGAAAACGCAGACGCAGTCCCCCAAGTAATTGCGAATGTGTGTTAAATTGATATGAAAAGTCAAAGGTTTGAAGCATTAGAAGTCGTGCCCCCACCCCCTCCCTCTCCCCTATGAAATATTTTTTTTTAGATTTGGCGAGTTTACAGTAACTTTATTTTTGTTTGTTTTCTTTTCATTATTTTTTTTTTTTTGCTTGTCGAGAAATTTCTGGGTTGGATTGTTTTTGGGCTGGGATGGACCCCCCCCTCCCCCCTCCTGGAAAAATGAAAGAAAAAGTGAGCAAGCTCACATACCCCACGCTCCCCCAAAACTCAAAGTGCTGAAAATCCCGGAAAAAATGAAAGAATCCGAATTTCCCGGTAATATGTACATCTACACATTGTGTCCTAAATATCTGCAAAGTTTGTTGAAATTCTGTGCTGCGGTTTATGAGGAGTTGCGCTGACAAACTGTTCATCACTATATTCAAGCTATCCCCGAAAATCTAAGTTGTAAAGTGCCGAAATTCCCAGAAAAATAAAGGATTCAGAATTTCCTGGTAAAATGCACATCTATACATAGTGTCCTAAATATCTGCCAAGTTTGACAAAATTCTGTGCAGCGGTTTATGAGGGGTCGCACTGACAAAATGTTCATCTGTATATTCAAGGTATGGCCAAAAATCTAAGTTGTAAAGGCCAAATTCCCAGAAAAATAAAGGAATCGGAATTTCCTGGTAATTTGCACATCAACATATTGTGTCCTAAATATCTGCAAAGTTTGACGAAATTCTGTACTGCGGTTTATGAGGAGTTGCGCTGACAAACTGTTCATCTCTATATTAAAGGTATGGCCAAATGCCTAAGTTAAAAAGTGCGGAAATTCCCCGAAAAAATAATGGAATTGAAATTTCCTGATAATATGCACATCTACACATTGTGTCCTAAATACCTGCAAAGTTTGACGAAATTCTGTGCAGGGGTTTATGAGGAGTTGCGCTGACAAAAAAAAGGACTGACTGACAGACTGACTGATGGACGGGTCAAAAACATTATACCTCACGCAACTAGTTGCGTGGGGTATAAAAATTCTGGATCCACGCCTGGCCTTGAACTCACTAAAGTGACCTTGCGTGACGTTCAACACACATAATCATTGTGTGCTGTACATACTTTCAGTGTTTTCCAATCATGAAGTTTTGGTCTGGGCATATCTTTCACAAACAAACAAATGGACAGCTTGACAGATAAATAGACAAGGTGATTCTTTATTTTATATAACTCCGTATATTTGGTTAAAGACAAACCTACAGGCATTTAACAAGGCAGTCTAGAAACTTTGATCCGAAAATTATCTATTTGGTATTTGGCTCAGATCATAAAAGGTAATTGTAGTTAATATTTATGTGATAATCAAAGTGGAATGATAATTTCGTTTGAAAATTTTAAAAAAGGTTCAAACTCTTACCCTCCATCCTGTGAATGTTGTCAAACAATGTCTCTATACTTCTAAGGTCATGTCTGCTGTGATCCTCAGATCTGGTACACTCCACACACAAGGGAACACCACACGGGGTACAGAACTGGTCCAGGGGAATTCTGGGATGTTTACTACATTCGATGTCCTCCAGAGGAAGTCCTGTTAAAAATAAAAAGTTTTATATTGTAAATAGTTAATCAATCTTGATTAAACTTCACAAAACAATGTCATTTTAGTACTCATCTTTTTTTTTATAACAAAGTCTCAATATTCATGATATTGGCATAGTAAAAATGTGTCGAATCTAGACAATTTTCGAAACAAATCTAGATATGTACATTCATTAGAAAAACTATATGTGATTATAATTATGCCAAGATATACAAGCGAGAAAATTTTGTGTTGATAAAACATTGTTGATTATGATCTAAAATGATTATGTTTGGGAATTTCTTGTTTCAAATATTGTCATAAGATATATTATAACAATATAAAAATATCATTTTTGGATTAAATTTCTTTGAAAACTGACAGCAATGATAAATTTAATGCATCCTCCAAAATTATTTCTATTTAAAAATATATGTTGTTTATGAGGGTCTCTGAAACTCCACTGAAAATTCACTGAGTAAGACATACTCTACAAACCCTGACCCCCATAAACAAGAGGCACATGGGCCACATCGCTCACCTGAGAAGCTTTGACCATTCTGTTCTTTACCAGATTTCACCCTTGTTATACATAATGCATCCCCACCCTACCCCACTGATCATAATTTAGACATTTTGAAATCTACACTACCCCATGATCCTTCCATGGACACATATGTTTCAGCATTTTTGGCCCAGTGGTTCCTGAGAAGAAGATTTTCAAAGATTTTTCCTATATATTTCTATGTAAAACTTTGATTCCCTATAATGGCCCCGCCCTTCCCCCGGGGGTCATGATTCCTACAATTTAGAATTTACACTACCCCAGAATGCTTCCACATAAGCTTCACATTTTCTGGCCCAGTGGTTCTTGAAAAGAAGATTTTCAAAGATTTTTCCTATATATTTCTATATAAAACCTTGATTCCCCATTGTGGCCCTGCCCTTCCCCCGGGTGTCATTATTTGAACAATTTAGAATCTACATTATACCAGGATGCTTCCACGTAAGTTTCAGCTTTTCTGGCCCAGTGGTTCTTGAAAAGAAGATTTTCAAAGATTTTTCCTATATATTTCTATATAAAACTTTGATTCCCCATTGTGGCCCCACCCATCCCCCGGGGGTCATGATTTGAATAATTTAGAATTTACATTATACCAGGATGCTTCCACATAAGTTTCAGCTTTTCTGGCCCAGTGGTTCTTGAGAAGAAGATTTTCAAAGATTTTTCCTATATATTTCTATGTAAAACTTTGATTCCCCATTGTGGCCCCGCCCTTCCCCCGGGGGTCATGATTTGAACAATTTAGAATCTACACTATACCAGGATGCTTCCATATAAGTTTCAGCTTTTCTGGCCCAGTGGTTCTTGAGTTATGCAATTTTTAAACACTTATAAAATGTGTTTTAAGAAGATTTTCAAAGATTTTTCCTATATATTTCTATATAAAACTTTGATTCCCCATTGTGGCCCCGCCCTTCCCCCGGGGGTCATGATTTGAACAATTTAGAATCTACTTTATACCAGGATGCTTCCATATAAGTTTCAGCTTTTCTGGCCCAGTGGTTCTTGAGAAGAAGATTTTCAAAGATTTTTCCTATATATTTCTATATAAAACTTTGATTCCCCATTGTGGCCCCGCCCTTCCCCCGGGGGTCATGATTTGAACAATTTAAAATCTACACTACCCCAGGATGCTTCCACATAAGTTTCAGCTTTTCTGGCCCAGTGGTTCTTGAGAAGAAGATTTTTTAATAACCCCACCCTATTTTTGTCTTTTCTTGATTATCTCCCCTTGCGAGGATATATGTCCCTTCATTTTAACAATTTAAATTCCCCTTTACCCAAGGATGCTTTGTATCAAGTTTGGTCAAAATTGGCCCAGTGGTTCTTGAGAAGAAGTCGAAAATGTGAAAAGTTTACAGACGGACAGACGGACAGACGGACGGACGGACGGACGGACGGACGGACGACGGACAAAATGTGATCAGAAAAGCTCACTTGAGCCTTCGGCTCAGGTGAGCTAAAAAAAGCACAACACGTGACATACCTACATATATGTGGGTGGATGTATATTGAAAATAAAAACAATCCAACAATTTTCTCATAGATTAATTAAAAGAAGTCATACGAGTCATCTAACTTTGCTATAATGTAAAATTATTGATTTAACTTGAAATAGTACAGCCATATATTACCCCCCCCCCCTTCCCTAAGCCTCAACACTTAGTTCAGTGACCATGTAAACCAAAGAAATTAACCCTACATATTTCTGTCAGTGACCTTCATTCAATGCTTGTAACATGGTAAAAATGGAACATTTTCAGTGTATTATCAGCTAATCAAGGGTTTCAAGTGTTTTAAATTCATTTAATTGGGATATAAATGGTTAAAAATAGACAGAATAAATCTAATGATAAATATTTCAGTATTTCCTTCTTCATCACATCATGCACTTACACTTAACAGGCAGTTATAATAAGATTATTTTTTTATTTTTATTGTATGGACCAGCTAAATTGAAACAAAGCAACAGGCTAGATATGTTTTAGCAAGAATTCTTTTTACACTTGTAATGAAAAGGGAGGTAACTTAATTTTTTTATTTACCTTCAAATACAAAATTGAATTGTCTCCCTTTCATTAGCAAGTTACTGAAATTATTCAATGCAGTTGCATTCATGCTTATTCCTTGGTGTCAAAGAAAAATTTTTTTTGTTCATAAAGTTGAAATGAATCAAACTTCATTATGGACTTAATCTTGAATACTGTTCAATTATTTCCATATTTCATCTAGAAGTTTCTCATACACAAAATGTCAACTCAGTACACAGTGTAGATTTACTGAACACCTGCTACAGAAATACACAACATTCCTAGACAGAGCTGTGTTAATATCAATGGTGTGTATATCAAACTGTCAACATCAGTACAAATTGTCATCTCTTCTGAATGTAGAATTACTTAAACTGAATACATTATATAGGACATTGTAAAAAAAAAAAAGAGATTTTAAAATTTAATCCGCTATTTCTCAAAAGTGATCACTTTACACTAAATTAAGTTATCAAACAAAACAGCACACAATTTCAAAAGTTGAAAATTACCACAATGACAGTACAATATGGTACATGTATCTATAAATCAAAGCTCATCTGTCAAACAAATACATGTATAGACTTATGAATGTACCATAAGAATGTAAGATGGTTCTGAGAAAAAAAATTACAGAAAAGTTTGAAATAAGATTCAGTGTATATAGAGTTCAATGTACATGTATGAATCAGTGACTGATTGGAGAGTTACACACAACATCTTACAATTAATTACAGACTAGATGTAAATCTATTATTTCTTTTTAATCTATTTATTATATTTGTAGTCTTAAACTTCATCTTTAACAGCTTATATTTGTTGTTTACACAATGAACAATCATTTCTGATCAAACTATAACATTTGTAAATAAACACTACATGTAAAGTTAGTCTTAAATGACCTCTCTATTGTAATGCGGTTATTTTATATTGTTATTATAGTTATACAATACAATAAAACAGACTACAATGTTACTTACCAGTCAGAGAGTCTGTATCTACCACTCTGTATAGGTGGACTGTGTTTTCCCAGTCTGTCCCTACCCACAGTAGGTGGGTGTCCTCATCATAACTCAGGCCGTGTGGTCCGCCTATCCCGTGTTGTGATATCAGTATCTCTGTCAGATAGTGACCCTCACTATCTAACATCCATACTGAGTGGGTGTAATCATCACACACCAGGATGTGTGACAGCGCGTCAGTACAGATTCCACGTGGCCATAGTCCTGATCCTGATGGAGGACGTCTGTAGGAGAACCGGTAATTACCATCACGATCTGTCACCACTAAAGCACGACGGATAGAGTCAGACACAATAACATCTCCATTGCGGTTCTCTGTGATGTAGGCAGGTCCTCTATACAGTCCCTGACCTGTTTTGTTGTTGTTCGGTATGGTCTGGATGTTTTCTCCTGTGGAGTTATACCGCACTATCTTGCCTTGTCTCCCTGTATCAGTATTATACATCCCGACCAGCAGGTCTCCAGTGGAGGGGGAGCTGTAGACACTCCGTGGTCTCCATGGTGCTGTGCTGTTGTACTTTATTATCGTAGTCTTTTCTTTGTTCTCTGTAGACAGTCTATTGATGTTTAATTCACTGTCTATATAAATTAGATCACCATTAGAATCCACAGTGTGTCCTCCATCATCACTACCTCTATCTGTCATGTGATCTAGTTCTTCACCTTTAGTGTTTGTCAGTATAAGATTCCTACCATCACTGATCCAGACCCGGTCTGATGTAACACGGGAAATGTGAAGACACCGACTAACACCTCTCACTCTGACAGATTTCTGGTACACTAATCTATACATTATTTACAGCAGACATCTATTTCTTTATCCTGAGGTTTTATAACAGAATCCCGTGTGGATTTCTTCAGTCAGGGAGAGATCTCTGTAAATGACAACATTGTAACAGAATTATCTTCATCAGTAACACGTCTCTCTGTTAACATTTTAAAAATGTTTTAGATCAACATTTTATCTTAATATACTTCTTATAATTAAATCTAGATCAATAACTTGTCTCTGTTCACAATCAAATTAACATAAATATATAAAAACCTTAACACTGGCTTCTGAATTCTTTAATTGTCTCTGTGTAGAGAAGGGTCCAGGTACTCATAATGGATGTTTATCTAAAAAAAATATTGACAGATTAAATTCCACAATGAATTTATGTTAAAATACTGAAGATTTGAATTCTTATACATCATGCAGATTGTTATATGAAAACATACCCACTATTTCATGTTTATACAATTTACAAAATAGAATATCATCTTAAATCACAATAAAATTTGATTTCCTTCATATATATTAATTCATACAATGCATGTGACAATTTTGTGCAGTATTAAATGTAGATTTTTGTGATGATGTGCCACACACACATTAAAGATAGGTTTGATCTACAGTGAGTATGTGTGTATCCACAGGGTGCAGGGGGTCCATCTACTTAGAACTGCAGAGTACTATACCAACTAAAACTGACCTTGGAAAGTCGTAGATTTGGTAAAAGAGTTTTTTTTTTTTTGCTTGTGAAGAAATTTCTGAGGTTTTCTTCAGACTGGGTTGGACCCCCCCCCCTGGAAAATTTCTTACATACAGGGCACAACAAACAAAAGACTAGAAATGATAGCAATAAGTCAACTTAATTTAAGATTCACTTGACCTAAAAATCAAATGACGTTTTTTTTTTCTTAAATGACCGTTTGATTTCAGCCCTTTTCAAATAAGCATCCAGAATATTCATGTTATAGAATGGAGGGTATAGATGATTTTTTTCTAACCTGTAAGAAGTTGATTTCTTCATCTTTTTCTTAACAACTGCATATCACCTTATCAAAATCTGTCAAAAGAAATTCAGAACATTAACTTACTTGCATTTATTTATCATGTTTATTCATGTATGCTCTTTTAAACCATTTTATTGGTCATAAAGTAGATGTGGTAGTTATTTTTTAATACCTGAATTTTCTATAAAATACACATGTAATGATATGATTAGCCGTAAAATTATCAAAACTTTGAGTTCAAATGAAAACAACAAGAGGCCCATGGGCCACATCGCTCACCTGATTACTTTGGTGATGCAGTTCTTTACCAGAATTACCCCGTGGGGATCCGGGTTAGAATAGGTTCTCAGTACCCCCTTGATTGTCGTAAAAGGCGACTAAATGGGGCGGTCCTTCGGATGAGATCGTATAAACCGAGGCCCCATGTCACAGCAGGTGTGGCATGATAAAGATCCCTCCCTGCTCTATGGCCCTGAGTGCCGAGCATAGGCCTAAATTAGCAGCCCTTCACCGGCAATGGTGACGTCTCCATATCAGTGAAATATTCTGGAGAGGGACGTTAAACAGTATACAATCAATCAATCAATCTTTACCAGAATTCCTCTCTTCTTATATATCTATTGTGCCCACCTACCCCCCCTCCCACCACCACCACCCCATCTTGATTTTAATAATTTTGAATCTACACTACTCAAGGATGCATCCACATAAGTTTCAGCTTTTCTGGCCCAGTGGTTCTTGAGAAGAAGATTTTTCCTATATATTTCTATATAAAAATGGTATTCCCTATTGTGGCCCCGCCCTACCCCTGGGGGTTATGATTTTAATAATTTGGAATCTACACAACCCCAGGATGCTTCCACATAAGTGTCACCTTTAATGGCCCAGCGGCTCTTGAGAAGAAGATTTTCAAAGATTTGTCCTATATATTTCTATGTAAAACTGGGATTCCCCATTGTGACCCTGCCCTACCCCTTGGGGTCATGATTTTAGTAATTTGGAATCTACACTACCCCTGGATGCTTCCATGTACGTTTCAGCTAATCTGGCTTATGGGTTCTTGAGAAGAAGATTTTCAAAGAATTTTCCTATATATTTCTATGTAAAACTGGAATTCCCTATTGTGACCACTCCCTACCCCCGGGGTCTTGATTCTGGTCCAGTGGTTCTTGAGAAGAAGATTTTTTAATGACCCCAACCTATTTTTGTCTTTTCTTGATTATCTCCCCTTAGGAGGGAACTTGGCCATTTTTTTTGAACAATTTTAACTCCCCATCACATATTGATGACTTGTACCAAGTTTGGTTAAAATTGGCCCAGTGGTTCTTGAGAAGAAGTTGAAAATGTGAAAAGTTTACAGACGGACTACAAACAGAATATGATCAGAAAAGCTCACTTGAGCTTTCAGCTCAGGTGAGCTAATAATGGAAAAAAATTCTGTGTTCATAGAATATACTTTCCATGTATGATCTATAAGTTTGCATTATCTATTGCTTATCTACATGTGAATATCTTAGGCATTACCTTGAATGTATTTTTAATTTTAAACCTCTTTATGGTTGAAACAAATTTATAACTACCCTACCAGAGGATATTTACATAAAGAAAACTCCTCAGGGATTTGCTATTCTTGAGAAGAAGACTTTTTTCCCTATATACTCCTATGCAAAACTTTGTTTGTCCATTCTGGCCCCATCCTTCCCTTAGGGCTCATGATTTGAATAAATCTACGCTACCTAAGGATGATTCCACATATGTTTTATCTTTCCTGGCCCAGTAGTTCCTCCGAAGAAAAATATTAAGAGATGCCATTAATTTTTCACTAATTTGTAATTTTTTTTGTAATTATCTCCTCTTGAAAGATAGTGTAGCCCTTCAATTGAACTTGACTCCCCTTCACCCAAGGATACTTTGTGCCAGGTTTGTTTGTAGTTTGTTTGTAGTTTGTCAAGTGGTTTCAGAAGAGAATATGAAATTGAGAAAAATTGACAAGGACGCTTACAACGAAGACAAATATTGGACAAATTTTGATCGAAAAACTCACTTGAGCCTTCGGCTTAGGTAAGCTAAAACTTATATAAACCTGTATAGTTGGGATAACCTCTTCTTTTCCAAAGCTACACTTTAAAATACGTCATCTGGATCTGGAACCTGTCAAAAATGAGTAAATGACATAAATTATTCTTTATACTTTTCAACATAATATACAGAACATTAGAAGGTCATAATTTTCCTAGAATTTTTAGTGTATGTTTCTATCAATCTTTTCTACTTCTTCAAAATAGAGAAGCTGTGAATGAGCTAATAATATAAATTGAGTGTTTAACATTGGAGACCTTTTGTGATTCCATTCTATTTCTAGTATCCTCATAGGCCATGATTGAACAAATATACTCCCCGTCAATGAAAACGCAACACTCTATTTTTAGGGTGAAAAATTATATACGGGATATAACTATGTACCAAACAAGTTAGGACATCTTTTACTTTGCCAAATCAGTTATTTAATGGTTGAATGTTTTTCATTCCATTACCGAAAGTTGATTTTTTAGCCCTCTTAACAAATAACATTTAAATAAAACACCCCCCTTCCGACCATTTAATCAAAACATGCTAGTCTGCCATGTGCAACATACAGTGTACGCAGTCCGATTTCTACCTTGCAATAAGGTTTATCAATGTCTTTATCTGAGCGAAATAAATATTCTTGAGCATTTTTAATTGTCTGTTGTTCAGACACTGAGGTCGAATTTTCTCTAACTTGGCGCAGTGTAATAACCCTTAAACTTCCGGTCAATGAACTGTCATTCATGCTTTTGAAACACATGAGCCCAAAATGTCTTTATGTAGCGTATATTTGCATCTGTACCTCTCCTTTTTCTTTATTTGGAGAATTTCCAGCATTAGCAATGAAATGCGTGCTTTTGGTAATTTTGAAGAAATACAGGAAATTACATCTGGAAAAGAAAGAAATATTTTTTCCCGGCATTTGAGTACAATACTTATGATAAACAGGTACAAAACCTTAAAAACCAAAATATTGTCAAAAATTTTATCAAAATTGCTAATATTTGATTTCTGTTAAGAGGGCTAAAATTCAACTTCCGGTAATGATATGAAAAGCAATCACCCGTAAAAAAAAAACTGATTTGGCGAAGTTAAAGATGTCCGAACTTTTTTGGTTCATAGTTATATCCTGTAAATAATTTAAACCTAAAATTAGGGTGTTGCGTTTTCATTGACGGGGAGTATATTAATCATTATTAACTTTCAAATTTAACAACAAACTATTTTATTTTTCCCTATTTCCTAAATATATTTTTCTCTTATATCTAAGGATATGTAGTTATAGTCTCATTTTGAAAATTCTTTAATATAAATATTATCCTTGTATATTAGAAAAGTTATTCAGAAACCTGTAGATTATCAATTTCTTCATTTTCTTCATCATTTACAGTTACAGCACATTCTGGGAAATCTGTCAAAATAAGATCAGTACATTTAGTATCTGTTTTTGTAGAACAACTTTAGAACAGTAGGGAAAGGTTTTTCTAAGTTGTAAGAACATGTTACCAATCCCTTTGTATGAATTATACAATAAAATATGATAAAAACAAAACAAGAACAGTACTGTATAGGGGATTAATTTCACGGGTTGTAATTTTCGCATTTTTCTTTCATCGGACACGATCGCGGTTTCTTGAATTCGCGGAATTAATGTGTAACAAGAGGCCCATGGGCCACATCGCTCACCTGAGAAGCTTTGACCATTCTGTTCTTTACCAGATTCCCCCCTTGTTAAACATAATGCATCCCCACCCTGAAATCTACACTACCCTATGATCCTTCCATGGTCACATATGTTTCAGCTTTTTTGGCCCAGTGGTTCCTGAGAAGAAGATTTTCAAAGATTTTTCCCATATATTTCTATGTAAAACTTTGATTCCCTATAATGGCCCCGCCCTTCCCTCGGGGGTCATGATTCCTATAATTTAGAATTTTCACTACCCCAGAATGCTTCCACATAAGTTTAAGCTTTTCTGGCCCAGTAGTTCTTGAGAAGAAGATTTTCAAAGATTTTTCCCATATATTTCTATGTAAAACTTTAATACCCCATTGTGGCTCCGCCCTTCCCCCGGGGGTCATGATTTAATCAATTTAGAATCTACATTATAACAGGATGCTTCCACATAAGTTTCAGCTTTTCTGGCCCAGTGGTTCTTGAGAAGAAGATTTTCAAAGATTTTTCCCATATATTTCTATGTAAAACTTTGATTCCCCATTGTGGCCCGCCCTTCCCCCGGGGTCATTATTTGAACAATTTAGAATCTACAATATGCCAGGATGCTTCCACATAAGTTTCAGCTTGTCTGGCCCAGTGGTTCTTGAGAAGAAGATTTTCATAGATTTTTCCTATATATATTTCTATGTAAAACTTTGATTCCCCATCGTGGCCCCGCCCTTCCCCCGGGGGTCATTATTTGAACAATTTAGAATCTAGATTATACCATTATGCTTCCACATAAGTTTCAGTTTATCTGGCCGAGTGGTTCTTGAAAAGAAGATTTTTTCCTATATATTTCTAAATAAAACTTTGATTCCCCATTGTGGCCCCGCCCTTCCCCCGGGGGTCATTATTTGAACAATTTAGAATCTACATTATAACAGGATGCTTCCACATAAGTTTCAGCTTTACTGGCCCAGTGGTTCTTGAGAAGAAGATTTTCAAAGATTTTTCCTATATATTTCTATGTAAAACTTTGATTCCCCATTGTGGCCCCGCCCTTCCCCCGGGGGTCATGATTTGAACAATTTAGAATCTACACTACCCCAGGATGCTTCCATATAAGTTTCAGCTTTACTGGCCCAGTGTTTCTTGAGAAGAAGATTTTTTAATGACCCCACCCTATTTTTGTCTTTTCTTGATTATCTCCCCTTGTGAGGGGATATGTCCCTTCATTTTAACAATTTAAATTCCCCTTCACCCAAGGATGCTTTGTGGCAAGTTTGGTTGAAATTGGCCCAGTGGTTCTTGAGAAGAAGTCGAAAATGTGAAAAGTTTACAGACAGACAGACAGACAGACGGACAGACAGACGGACAGACGGACGCCGGACATAATGTGATCAGAAAAGCTCACTTGAGCCTTCGGCTCAGGTGAGCTAATAAAAGTTACCTCCCTTGTCTATATATAGCTTCTTGTTAACGAAATTCATCAGCGTCATGTGTTTATTTCAACAAGGTAGGTAAATATAAAATTGTTGGATTTAATAAATAATTAATTAAACAAGGGCGGGTATTGAAAGTCCTTCATTCTGAACGTCAAATGACTTTCCTATATGCTATTATGATGAGTGCATGTGCACCCAAGATCTTCAATACAACGCGGCGAAAAACCACTGGACGGAAATAAATGTGTGTATGTAGTTCGACGAAATAATATCCTTCCACATCTTCAGTAAGTTAAATATTTATTTGAATGATTTCTTATTAAAACCAAAATCTAGTTAAAATCAAATATGCATGATTATGCAGGTAACAAATACACGCGGGTTATCAAAACCCATGGCCCACATGTTTTGATTGATGAAACATGTAGAGTTGGCTATTAAAACAGCTTTGGAACAAACACAAGTTATTATCTACCGATTTTAATTAAAGTAAAAAGTGATAATTATAATAACTGAATGATAAGTACTACTCGTAATTACTGAAATGACCATGTATTGACGGTGCATGTGTATAACCCTATCGTAGTCTATTCCTAAATTTCAAAATAAAACATGGAGATTATTTAAAAAATTATTCACTGTTTCTTGAATTCACGGATTTATTAACACCGTGAATATAGCGAATATTAACACCGCGAGTTATTTTCCCCCTATACAGTACCTTATGATTAGATATAGATATATACGTAATGCAATTGTTGTTAGCCATAAAAAAATATTCTGTTAACTGATTTTTTAAGACTCTAGCGTATTTCTTTATCTTCTTCAGATATAAAGAAAAATGTAAACCTGATGTAAACCTGTACATGATGGTGATCATCTTCATAATTCTCTATAACGTTGACATCAAATTCTGCAGTAGCTGTCAAAATTAAGAAAACAATTTTTTTTAATGAAAGGATTGTTTCTTCATGAAAACATAACAGAGTTACGGTTCTTAGTACAGTGACACACCATGCCAGACTGGCGATTCAATGTAAGAACTGCGACTCATAACAATAAGCTTGCTAAGTTTTTTATATAAGTAGGGTGTTTGAGTATATAGACCATGAGGCAAGTGCTTAATTCTTATCTGTTACTTTACAATAATTACTGATTTATTCATATACAGGTTGGGACTTATCACCAGAATGAGACATCAATAGTCCATTTGGGTGATTTGTCCCAACCCAAAACTAGTGCTACATGAGCTTGACTAGAGATACAATTCTCACTGGTCTGGTACAGGGCGGGGCCACAGTTAGTATAACACGGGGGATTCAGGTGAAGAACAGCAGAGCCAAACTTACTCAGGTGAGCGTTGTGACCCATGGGCCTCTTGATTAAGCACTTGTACCACATATCCCATTTTGGTATTGGTCCCAATCTAATAATTTTTAAATTTCAGAGACAATATACTGTTGAAGCTATACTTTAAGGAAAATAAAGTTGTATTATAAGCAAATGAATAAATCAACAAATTAATCCACACCATGTAGGTCCATCACAATCTCTTGATTAAGCTATATAGCTTAGAAAACCTGTATAGCTTTATTAAGCTTCTCAAAATAGCTTGGTAATTCTATTCAATTATATGTGGTTTTTCACATGACAGGTTAATTTGAAGCCAGAAAAAAACGTTGAGAGAATTAATTGAATTTTCATCTTTATATTGATTCTTTTTTTAGATAAAAGACTCACACAATCTCAAAAACATTTGTTGTGAAAAATATGGTAGTAATTTTCAGCGCAGCCCCTTGTGTATTTTTCAAAATCATTTTGGAGCGGATCCCCGATTTGCAACTGTAGTGAGGGCTTGTCCAGAGACACAGTTATATTATTCTTACTACATCATGATCTATGATCTCTAAGTTCAAAGTCTCTCAAGGAGATAACATTAGTTAAGTTTATTTTTACTAGCATTGTAAATTAAGACGAGTTCAAAGTAAAATATTTTAACTGCACCAAGCAGTGCCAAGGTGCGACTTTTAGTATATGCTAAAAAAATAACAAATTTGAGAGAAAAAAGTGATAAAATGGCAATATCAAGCTATTCTAAATAGTTTAATAAAGCTATATATAACTTAGCTGCAGAACTGTAGCTCTCCGAAAAATATATAAAATCAAAGTACTCAGAAGTACAGAGATCTGGGCTCATTTACAGAGTAGAATGGATTTCTGACATGAATTGCCTTTATATTCTGATGAAAAAATTATTTTAAAACTATCAATATAATTGATAAGACACTGACAGTGAGTTTTTCAATCCTAATACCACGGTCCGATTTTGTCAGAATCAGAATTAATCTGGTACCGCAACTAAATGTAAACAAACAGGCCAGTCTGGTTCCCTCTCCTGCTTTACCTCGTATGTGTCTCTACACACTACGGTAACACTGATTATCAAAAATCCTTACTCTAATGAACTATGTTCTTTGACTGATGAAGTTTTCAAAGTCACTACTACTAATGTTTATTTTATATAGATAAAACTTTGTTTTAATTTTGTTGCTTTATTTAGCGTTTGTATTATTTCAAAAGCAGTAAGAATTATATTTTTGCACTTTACTTTAAAATGGCGACTATGGGGTTAACATCCTGCCTGGAACAGGATCACATAAGCCGGCAATTGCTCTTTGAGCAATAAGCCCGGCTAAAAACAGGAGAGCTACAGTGCCACCCTTTTAAAAACATAGGTAATCAAAGATTACGAAGCTCACCTCGACGAATGTTATCAGTTTAAGTAATGCAAATCTCACATCATATTTTCTTAATATTTAGCATTTATCCCAACAACAATATTCTTGCAGGTTGTGTTTAACCCCTTACATGGCATAAACACATTTCTATGCGTGTAGCGTGAAAAACATGTTAAGTGTAAACAAATATTCATAACTTTGTTAATATTGCAGATATCAAGGACTTCAAGTTCATTCAGATTGATCTGCTCCCAAAACTTAAACCTGGTCTCTTGTATGGAAAATAAAGATCAGATCCAGCATCCGAAGCAAGTCTGGTAGTGGCAATCCCTAGATGCATCATCCATGCAAGTTTGGTCCAAATATGCATATATGGCTTATATATATAGTTACTTGGGAATGAAAATGTAGTCAGATCCAACATCCGAAGCTAGTCTGGGAGTGTCCATCCCCAGATACATCATCCATGCAAGTTTGGTTCAGGTAGGGCTTATAGTTACTTGGGAATGCAGATATCAAGGGCTTCAAGTTCATTCAGATTGATCTGCTCCAAAAACTTTAACCTGGTCACTCATGTGGAAAATGTAGGTCAGATCCAGCATCCGAAGCAAGTTTTGTAGTGTCTATCCCTAGATGCATCATCCATGCAAGTTTGGTCAAAATAGGGCTTATTTTTACTTGTGAATGAGAATGTAGGTCAGATCCAGCATCCGAAGATAGTCTTGTAGTGTACATCATCCATGCAAGTTTGGTTCAGGTAGGGCTTATAGGTACTTGGTAATGAAAATGTAGGTCAGAACCAGCACCCGAAACAAGTCTGGTAGTGTCCATCCCTAGATACATCATCCATGCAACTTTGGTTCCGGTAAAGCTTATAGTTCTTGTGGAATGGACCTGCTCCAAAAGTTTTAACCTGGTCACTCATGTGGAAAAAGTAAGTCAGGTCCAGCATCCGAAGCAAGTCTGGTAGTGTACATCCCTAGATGCATCAACCATGCAAATTCGGTCCAAATAGGGCTTATAGTTCCTGTGGAATGGAACTGCTATAAAAACTTTAACCTGGTCACTCATCTGGAAATTAAGAATAATTCTACAACTTGATAAAATTCTGGGCATGTAAATATTTGTTCAGGCTTGTGTAATAGGTTATCACACATGCCCGAAGAGCATGTGCTAAAAAATGGCGAAGACTGGGAAAATGTAGGTAAGATGCAGCATCCGAAGCAAGTTTTGTAGTGTACATCCCTAGATGCATCAAACATGCAAGTTTGGTCCAGGTAGGGCTTAATTATAGTTAATTGGGAATAGACCTGCTCAAAACTTTTTTTACCTGGTCACTCATCTGGAAGATGTAGGTCAGATCCAGCATCCGAAGCAAGTCTGGTAGTGTACTTCCCTAGATGCATCAACCATGCAAGTTTAGTTCGGGTAGGGCTTATAATTCCTTGGGAATGGACCTGCTCCAAAAACTTTAACCTGCTCCAAAAACATTAACCTGGTCACTCATCTGGAAAATGTAGGAAAGATCCAGCATCCGAAGCCAGTCTGGTAGTGCACATCCCTAGATGCATCATCCATGCAAATTTAGTTAGGGTAGGGCTTATAATTCCTTGGGAATGGACCTGCTCCAAAATCTTTAACCTGCTCCAAAAACATTAACATGGTCACTCATCTAGAAAATGTAGGTCAGATCCAGCATCCGAAGCAGGTCTGGTAGTGTACTTCCCTAGATGCATCATCCATGCAAGTTTGGTTCAGGTAGGGCTTATAGTTACTTGGGAATGGACTTGCTCCTAAAACTTTAACCTGGAACGCCGACGCTAAAGCTGACACCGACGTCAAAGCCGGGGGTATAGCATAATTTGAGCTTAGTTCTAGATTAATTCTTCTAAATTTTTACCTCAATCGCCAAAAAGCTAAATTAAAAAAATCCTTACTTTCCTATCAAGTACTCTGGTAGTTGACATCTGCATGAAGCTCGTTAGACCGAATTTTCTTACAAATAAAAATGGCAGAATTAATGGACGACGTTTTTATCATCTCAATTTCAGGGCCAGTAGGGCTATTATAACAACAACTATAAGGAATATTTTGTTGGGGAATCAGGGAAAGAATATGTTAGGGTTACACAGTTAGTAATAATTATTCTGATGGGACAGTTTAAAAAACATGGAAAAATAAACAGAGAAACAGCGCACTTTTTTTGTTCGCAATAAATACACAGTTTTTTCAATGGGCGGCACTGTTGCTCTCTGAAACAAGATGTGTTTGTTAAACACTGATGCCCCCGTATGGCAACATAGCAAAGATTAAGCTTTTTCTTAAATGCAAATTATATTAATTGGTATCAAAAGTAGGGTATTCTCACTGCAAAACAATTGTGAAATATGAAAGTAAGCTTATGTTAATTTTTTTTAATACAGTGAAAACTGTCTAATCCAACACCTAATTAATCTGACATACTGTGAAATTCTGAGGTTAAATTTCTTTCCTATTAGTATTTTCCTTGTTTTAACACCGTGCAATCTGACTTCCTGTCTATTCTGACACAAAATACATCTCCCAGAGCATGTTGGATTAGACAGGTTTCACTGTTACAAAAATCTCTAAGTTCAAGGTCAAAAGGTCAATGTAATTAGTATCAAATGAAAGTTCTTGCCACAAAAAAAATATGTAGAGCATGAAAGTCCTAGTCCTAACCAATCAGAAGTTATGGTCAACGTTTCTTAAAAAGTAGGTCAAACTCCAAGGTCAAGGTTAAAGGGTCAAAGTTATTATCAAATGAAAGGTCTTGTCATAAGGTTCAATTATAAAGTATGAAAGCACTAGCCCTAAGTCTTAAAAAGTTATGGTCAAGGTTTGTTTTTTTTTAAAGAGGTCAATCTCAAAGGTTAAGGTCAAAGGGTCAAGGATCTTCATATGCAATGAAGGGTCTTCTCACGAAAATTACATATATGAAGTATGAAAGCCCTATATCTTACCGTTCAAAAGTTATGGCCAAGGTTAAAGTTTTTTCACAAGTACGGATATCTAATAGGTCAAGGTCAAAGGGTCAAGGTTGTTGGTATTCAGTGAAAGGTCTTTTAACAAGCATTACATATGTGAAGTATAATTGTCCTGGTGTCTACTGTTCTAAAGATATGGCCAAAGTAAAATTTTTTAAATTTTTCTTAAAAAGTAGGTCAAAATCCAAGGTCAAGGTCAAAGGGTCAAAGTTATTGTTATCAAATGAAAAGTCTTGTCATGAGGATCAAATATGTGAAGTATGAAAGCACTAGCCCTAAGTCTTTTCAAGTTATGGTCAAGTCTTGTTTTTTAAAGTAGGTCAATCTCAAAGGTCAACGTCAATAGGTCAAAGATCTTTATATCCAATAAAAGGACTTCTCACAAGGATTACATATATGAAATACGAAAGCCCTATATCTTACCGTTCAAAACTTATGGCCAAGGTTAAAGTTTTTTAACAAGTACAAAAATCTACAAGGTCAAGGTCAAAGGGTCAAGCTTGTTGGTATCCAGTAAAAGGTCTTTTAACAAACATTACATATGTGAAGTATAAAAGTCCTGGTATCTACTTTTTAAAAGATATGACCAAAGTAAAATTTTAAAATTTTCATGTAAAAGTGGTTCAAACTCCAAGGCCAAGGTCAAAAGGTCAAATTTGGTGGTACCCAAAGAAAGGTATTGTCACAAGGAATACACAT